AATGGTGTCTCTCTGGAGACTAAGGTGCGTCTGATACAGGCCACGGTCTTTGCAATCACTTGTTATACTTCAGAGAGTTGGACAATGACTAGGGAGTATCAGAGACAGTGTGATTAGCACAGGACAGAGCAGAGTTTAGGGCTGTTGTACATAGGGTTGCTATGAGTTTCAAGTGACTCAACAGCACATAACAACAACAACAATTATAGAGAAGAAGTGAGAAAGTGTGATTATATTGTAAGTACTAATGTCATAAAACAAAATTTGTATGAAAAAATCAATTTGTAACATTTCACTTATATCACAATGTTGTTGTTTTATTGTTGTTGTTGTTAAGTGCCATTGAGTCGAAGGTGACTCATAGTGACCCTATGAATGGAAGAGCTAAACACTTAAAGAGAGATATATAGAATTACACAGACTGTAAATTAGTGTCTCAAAGAGATAGACTTTATGGTGAGCAAAGGAAACATCACAGTATTTTGGATGAGAAGATCAAATGTAGAATCTGAGAGTCAGGTAATATTCAAAGAAATGATGGCAAGGAACTACCCATATTTCATGAAACACACTCAGTCTAGATTCAAGAAGTTCAATGGCATGCAGGCACTATAAATAGAAAGAAACTACTCTTGAAGCAGCAGTCAGATAGATGGACAAATGAATAAACAAACAGATCTTTGCTGAAGGTCCACCAGGATGTTCCTTCAAAGCAAAGAAAGTGAAATTTTGTCCCACATACTTTGGGTATATTGTAAGAAGGACTAGTGCTTAGAAAAGGATGTCATGCTTGGAAAGCTGGAGGGTCCACGAAGGACAGGAAAACCCTCAACAGGATGGACGGATACAGTGACTTTTACAGTGGGCTCAAGTATAGCAGAGATGATGAGGATGACACAGGATTGAGGAGGATTAAGATCCTCTGTCACAGCACCTAACAATGACAACTTTTTTCCTTTTTAAAAAATTAATTAAAAATTAATTTTAATGAAAGTTTACAGAGACTTAGGGTTTTCAGTCATTCATTGTTGCATTTTTCTCCCTGCCCTGCCTCCTCAACCTCCTCATTCACCCTTCTCCTTGAAAAGAAACTCTTTCATTGTTATGTAGTCCCTCCTTCCAAGTCCACTCCACTGTGTAGCCTTCATTCTGGACTACTGTCATGACAGTAATACCCAATCACATATCCCTTTCAAATAGTTCTCTCCCTCATCTGTTTCCTTCTCCGTCTTCCCTCAATCCTAATATCAGTCCCGTTTTACAATAGTGGCTCTACACAATATTTGTCCTTTTGTGACTGAGATATTTCACTCAGCATAATGTCCTCCAGGGTCATCTATTTTGCATAATATTTCATTAGTTCCTTGTTTTTCAATGCTGCATAGTATTCCATTGTGAGAATATACCAGAGCTTCTCTATCCATTCGTTTGTTGATGGGCACTTGGGTTGTTTCTAGCTCTTTGCTATTGCAAACAAAGCAACAATAAACATGGCTGTGTATATATCTGCTTGAGTGGCAGTTACGGTTTATTTAGGGTAAATTCCAAGTAGTAGAAATGCTGGATCAAATAGTATTTCTATTCCCAACCTTTTGACAAAGCGCCCTACAGCCTTCCAGAGTGGTGGACCATTTTATACTCCCACCAACAGTGAATAAGAGTTCCAGTTTCTCTACAACCTATCCAGCATTTGATGTTTGCTGCTCTGTTAAATTTTGCTATTCTTACTGGGGTGACAAAGAGACCATTTATAATACTGGGACAGAAGAGACAGATTGTTCTAGGTGTACATGTAGTTCCCAAGTTATGAGCAAGATTAATTTCTAAGTGATTTGAGTAGAGTTTAGGTAAGTTGGAACATGTGCATATGGCTTCTATTTAGTCTTCATTTTATTGCAAGATCGAGTTCCGGTAGCATAGTCCCTAGGATGCTGTACTGCTAACCAAAAGGCTGTGTCTCCAGTGGCTGGAATCCACCACCTGCTTCTCAGGAGACAGATGGGCAACATGTCGTCCCCTTTGGATTTACAGTTTAAGAAACCCAGTAGAGCTTCCCAGTGGTCAGACCCAACACTAGTGGATTGTTGTTTTGAGTGAAAGACCTAAATCCTTTCTCAAGGATTTAAAGGCTACACACTCAGCAAATCAAGGTGACTGTGAAGAATCTGTTGTGGGCAGGAGTTGTACATAACGATTTACATAACAATAAAGAGCAAGTGCAAGTTGCCCATAAGTGGAGCCTTAACTCAGAGACTGGCTGAATGAGAATGACTGATGGGTTACTTTTCAATAACAGGCAAGTCTGAAGAACATATGCTATTTTTAAAGTGCTGGAAAGTAGTAACTACCACCCAAGATTTTGCACCCAGAGAAGGCACCTTTCCAAAATCAGGGCAAGGACATCCTTATTCATGAAAAAACCTCAAAGTTTACATAAGCAGATCTTCACTAGCAGAACTTTCAGGAGATGTAATCCAGGCAGGAGAAAATGAATACGATAAACTCTTTCCCATTAGGAGGCCATCTTGCCTCCTCACTGCCACTGAGTCAGTTCTGACCCACAGTGACACCCCCCCCCCCCCAATCAGGTTTCTAAGGCAGTAAATTGTATTTGGAGGAGACAGACCATCTTTCTCCTGTGGAAACAGCTGGTGCATTTGAACTGCTGGATATGCTGGGCTTTGCATTAGCAATACTATGTCATCTTATAAAATTGATTTTTAAAAAAATAACAAATGTGTGAATTATGAAAAATTCCAATTAACATACTTGAATGAACTTGGTTTTATTATATATAATTTTATATCTTCCCTGTCTATTTACATCTTGAATCATCTTTTATGTCAGATACCAGTACATCACTTGTTAATCTGATACTAGAACTCTTGAGTCAGTGCCATTGTAGCATATCAAAGGATACTGTTGTTTGTTGTTGTTGTTATGTGCCATTGAGTCCACTACAACTCATAGTGACTGTATGCACAATCACACTGATCCATGCCCTATGCTGAGACAATCTCGTTGACTCTGACATACTTACCCTCCTTACTAGTCAATTTATCTCATTCTGGGTCTTCCTTTTCTGCACCATCCCTCCACCCTTCCAAGCATGATTCCTTCTCCTAAGACTGATCCGTCCTGGCTACACATCCAAAGTATGTGAGATAGAGTCCCAAAATTCTTGCCTTCAAGGAGTTTGCTTCACCCTTTCCAGGACAGACCTATTCGTTCCCTTGACAGTCCATGGTATGTCCAATATTCTCTCGCACCACAATTCAAAGGTATCAATTCCTTGGTCATTGTCTAACTCTCTGATGCATAGCAAGTAATTGCAAACACCATGGCCTGGGTCAAGTGCATCTTAGTCTGTTGACTGACATTTTTGCTCTTTAGCACTCTGGAGATATCTGTGACAGCAGATTTTTTAATGCAATTCATCATTTGATTTCCTGACAGCTAATGCCAAGGGTGTTGATTGTGGAACCACAGAAGCCGAAATTGTCAGCAATATCAATCTTCTTCTCCATCTATCATGATGCTGCCAATTGGCCCAGTGGTGAGAATCTTTGCTTTCTTGATGTCAAGCTTCAATCCATATTGCAAACTAGAGTCCTTGATCCTCTGCTGCAAATGCTTCTGGTTCTCCACAGTTTCAACAAGCAAAGCTGTGTCATCTGCATATTTCAGGTTGTTGATGAGTCTTCTTTCAGTTCTGATGCTACATTCCTCCTCATAATGTCCAGCCTCTTGAATGATCTGTTCTGCATACAGACTGAAAAGGTATGGAGCTCTGGTGGGTGGCCTGGTGGTAAGAAACTGCGCTGCACTCCCTAAAACAGATAGCTGGAATCCACTAGCTGCTCTGTGGGAGAAGGATGGGCAATCAATCTCCTCTCCTGCGATTAACTGCATCAGAAAACCCTCTGAGTCAGCTATGGGTCCCTTACTCAATGGAATACAACAACAATGACAAAATATACTACAACATATAAAACTGTTAATTCAAAGTAAGACAAATAAACACCAAGTTCAAAAGTTTTTATTTCAAAAGAATCCATTATTACCACTCTCTAGTTTTCCAATGTATTTAAAAAGAAGCCTTAAGGATAAGGTTAATTGAAATACCACCATGAAATTATCTTATCATTTATACAAAAGTTAAAATGCTACAATTAATGCTGTTATGATGTCAGTATTGGCTTCTACAATAAACTAATACTAATAAACTAAGTTCTAATAACTAAGTACTAATAACTAAGTCAACCATTAGTTTAATAGGTTCTGTGTTTTCCTATATATTTAACCTTCCTGGTATCTTAACTTGCACATGGGAGGGTTTGTGAAGTTCTATAAAAAGAAATTGTGTTCTGTTGAGCCACAGTATATAAAGTAATAAAAAGTGTTTATGGATGATTAAATATGAAAGTTAAGTTGAAGCATTTAATCTACTTCAAAACTAATTTAATGCGGGACTATCCTGGCAATATAGACATTATTGGTGTTTTACTTGAAGGGAACGTTTTCATCCAGTATGTCCGACAGAAATTAAATTTACTTTTTTGAGAATTTGGAATGTGTTAGGCTGGGTTCATTTCCAGCACAAATTTCCAATAATATATGAACTACATTGCCACATATTATAGAAGAATTTGAGTGATTCCATACAGCCATGAAAGAATATCTGTTGTGACAGGTGAGAACATGAAAGCAGAAACTTAAGAGAGCTATCTTAATCTTATTAATAAGTTGATTTCCATGTCTCCTCTCATTCCAATCTCCTATTGTATTTTCATACAGGCCTTGAGATCAAATAGAAATATACTTTCTTTTAAAAAAAAAGAAAAAAAAGAAATAGACTTTCTTTCTGAATGAATGGAAAGTGGCACTTTAATAAACCAACCAACCAACCAAACAAACAGAAAACCAAAATTATATTTGCAGAAAAAAAGAACCCCAAAAACTGAGTACATTCAGTTTAGCTCACTTTTCTTTTACCGTCTTTAAGATCTTATCTTATACCTAAAAAGAACATCTGATTTTGGATGTGGGATTCCCAGCAACATGCGACTGTTGCTTAATTCTGCAGGTTTCTTGCTAATTATTTCAATGTCAAAATTAGTCACAAGTATAAACAACAAATGCTTCACTTCAGAAACGGCAAAAAATCGACCAGGGCATTTGGAGACCCCAGATCCAAATGTCATTACGTATTCACTCAGCCTTTTTCCTCCTTTGAAAAAGGTGGTTTTCTTCTTACCATCTTCCACAAAGCGATCATATCTGAACTCCTGCAAAGAAGAATATAATGGTAAAATGCAAAAAGGTGCATGAGACAGTTTGAGTTTAGTTTTCCAAAGCTGTCAGCTTTCCCCCCATGTCTTAAGTCTCTGTTTAATTTGGCAACCATTAGTATGTAAAACTTAATGGAAATCATGTATGAATTTTAAAAAAAACTCAAGTGCTACTGGAAATTACTCCCCTCATATTAAAATGAGCCCCAAATATCTGTACGACATTTCTTCCCTATTCATATCTATTTCAAACTCTAAACTTCTAAGTATAGAGCTTGCCTTCATTATCTTAGTGTTGCTGTAACAACAGAAATTGCTTCTTTCACAATTAAGGAAGCCAGAATTCCAAATTCAGGGCCAGTCCCTGTGTGAGGCTTCTGTTTTTTGCTTCTAGAAGTTTCTCAGTAAAGCAATCTGGGTGGGCCTTCCCACACTGTTTGCTCCCCAAGACAGGTCTTCATTTGTGGATATTTGATATTCCTGTGTTAGGGGGAAGGTAAGAGCTCTTCCATAACCACCACAGTTACCATGGTAATGATGGAGCAAGACCAAGCAAGGGGTTGGCCTAACTGCAGACCCCCAAAGTACTTCTCTCTCTTCTCTGATGGCTGAGGATTAGGATTTACTGAATATGTCTGAATGAAACGATATTTAATAATAAGAACACCACGGGGAAGAACACCATAAAAACAGGTCTTCCTTGTTTTTTGTTTTGCTTTACTTTTCAATGTGATAATGACCTTTCCCAGTGAAAACGTCCACTAGAATGAACTTAGAGTGGCAGGTAGTCCTGACACATTTTTAGAAAGAAGTTAGGTTAATCTTTACAGAAAATTATGGGGCTCGTTTTCCTAGGACGTTTGGCCCACCGTTTTAATTTTGCCTTGCCCTCAAAGGTTCAGGTTCAACTCTCACTTGAGTTTCCAGGAGAATGACTGACCTTATTTTCGTCCATGGTGAATTAAACCATTGATTAAATTAAGGTGCATGGTAGTCATGAAAATGACCAAGTATTTCCTGTATTTTGTGCTCATTAGCATTAGACTAGCTCAGCGCACACAACTTTGATATGAACCACATGAAGGCAAATGCAAAAAAGCAGCACAGATGAAAAGCATTTCAGGTTACAGTGAAAGTACAGCATTAGATGGGTAAATTCCATGGAGTCCATTATAAATGATTTCATTTTCTCATTCAGTGTCAGTATTGTTGAAATGAGCAAATCATTTCCTCTAGAAGAAATGGGTTTAGTGTTAGCCTCATTTACCTAGAATACATATACGGTAAGCGTTCACACTCTGAAAAATAAACTTTGAGCAATTTTTCTTTGTCTTTAATTTGGAAGTTGCAGCAATCATAATGGTAAAAATCTGTGTTTTTATAGCTCTTTTAATTCTTGACAACTACATTTTGGCCTCTTTCAAATGGTAGTATATTTTATCATAGATGGTTCTGGAACTCATATAAAATGATCTAACCAGTGCTTAACTTAAAATGTCTATGTATCCTTATAGATCTGGTGGCTTAGTGGTAAGAAGCTGCGCTGCAATCCCAAAGGCACATGGTTTGAATCCACCAGCTAGCTGCTCCATGGGAGAAGGATTAGCAATCTTCTCTCATGTGATTTACTGCTTTTGAAAACCCACTGGAAAGTCAGCTACGAGCTGGTTCTGACTTGACAGCATGCAACCATAACAGTATCATAAATAAGCAAATAACTGTAATGGATTTCATGTTCTTTATGAAAATCCATGCACCACGCACCACCTTCTAAGAGGCTACTGCGATAAACAGATCATGTCTGAATATCCCCTTCCCATACCTTTTGTTAGCATTTACATTCTAAGATGTCACATTTCTGATCAATTAGCATTTCCACTTATCTAGCTTCCACTCACTTTCTACTCTGTTTTAGAAATTCACATTTATGTGAATTATAGGATAAGAAGGGGAAAAGACCACCTGTTTTCTTCCCCTCCATGACTTCCCACAAGATCAAAGGGCTTAAAGCCCTAAAGCTAGTTTTAAAATGTATTTGACTCTTGTTCCATTGGTAAGGTTTGGTTAATCTGATCTCTATGTGAGCCAGGTGGGCCTACAGTCATTGTTCTGGTGGCTCAGGCTATAGAGAGCTACACTGCACACCCACAGGCAACATCCCTCTAGTGGTTCAAATCCTCTAGGCGCATCACATCATTGGGAGAGAGATGGGTGACTTCCTCCTACGCCAGGTACAGGCTCTGAAAGTCAGCTCTAAGTCAGTTCTACTCATCAACAATGACTTGACTTGATGATAATTGCTAGGTGCATAAACAGATTTTAGCCAAAAAAAGAAAGGGTGTAAGACTCACTCTTGAGACTTCACGGCCACAATGATACAGAGAACAAAGGGTCAAGAAGCTCAAGCAAAGCATATTAATTTACAACAACTGAAACACATGTGCCTCCATGCCAACTTCAACACTCTTTTTATGGTAACAGTAATAAGGGTGGCACTTTACAATTACAGAGGATCACTAAATGAAACATTAAAGGGGTGAGAATGTAGAAATCTGAACAGACGGTGTACAATACTAAAATTCCCCACTGTGATTTCAGCAATTGTCATGGTTAGTTCTCCATTGGACTCCTAGTGTGAAGAATTTACTCTGCTAAACCAAAGGCAAGTGGTTCAAATCTACCAGATGCTTCAAGGGAGAAAAATGAGCAATCTCCTGTGCAATTTCTTTTTTATTTTTTTGTGTACTATGGAGTTGGAACTGACCCACAGCTGACCTTCCAGCAGGTTTTCAGAGGCAGTTAATCTCATGGGAGAAGACTGTTCATCTTTTTCCTGAGGAGCAGCTTGTTGATTTGAACGTTGTACCTTTGGATTGCAAGCACAACTCCTTACCGTTAGGCCACAAGATATCTCCCTGCAATTTACAGCCTCTGAAAACCTGCTAGAGGGTCAGCTGTGAGTCAGTTCTGACTTTACACACATAACAACAGCCCCATCAATCTCTGAATAAGATTTGTCTAAACAGAAATTGTGGGAATAATTATTTATTTTTTTTTTTCCCTGTAACTAAAGCAGGCTGTGAGCGAACCAATGTAGTCAGTACTAAATGTGGGAAAGTCTTTGGGGACATGTAACCAAGTTCCGTTCCTATGAATAAAGAAAAAACCCAAGAAATCGTCCTTCACTTTTCTTCCTTTGGACCTAGTCATTTGGAAACTCTTTTTCATTTCTATATTTTCAAAGCCTCCATCATATCACTATGCCCAGATTAGAGGTTCCATATGTTTGGTGAAAAGTGAAAAGCTAAATGAGAAGAAAGCCTTTTTCAAAAGCAATCTTCAAGCTATTGAGAAAAATATAGATATGAGATAAATAAATAAACATGCAGTGAATGGGGAAGAAACAAATACAGAGTATCAATACAAAACGGTATACTATAGAAACCTAGATTGGCCTGCTGTGGTGAACCATCAAGTTGGAACTGACTTACAGCTGAGCCAACATCAGGTTTTCAGAAGCAGTAAATTTCATAAGAAGACTGCTCATCCTTCACCGGTGAAGCAGTTGGTGGATTCAAACCAAGCACCTTTGTGTTGTTGGTAGTGCGATTCCTCAGCACTAAGCCACCAGACCTTGGACTAGTGAGATAAATTTCAGAATAGAAGAAAGGTTTTGGATGCCTGACTGACTAACACTCCAATTTGTGTTCTTCAAACATTGTGCTATGTTCAGTTCAACATATTTTTCTAGCACCTCCTATGTGAGACACTAAATTTATAAAGGAATATAACATGATCTAGCTGAGATAGGTGGCACACAATACAATCATGAATCACTCCCACTCAATTTATAATTTTGGGTGTAAGCATCTATGTTAAACCAAAGATATAGCTTTTCAGAAATTAAAAAAAAACACAGCTTTTTTTTCAATGAATGATGAAGGGCTGCACTGTTGCAGTTGGGTGACAACTTCCTTGGAACAAAATGGCAGAATACGGAATTCTTTCTGTCTCCCCGATGTGGGATCAATGGATTTGTGTGTGACAGTGGTTTGGACTGGTGTCTGAGAGTGTACTCACTTCCTCTGTGTTGTGCTCTTGTATCAACAGAGTGAGATTGGATGTGGGAATATTTTACACCATAGAAGCTCACAAGTGTGACAAAGCAGGATTTTTGGGTTTGGTTTGTTGTTGTTTGTTCCTGAGAGCTGGCTCATCAACACACCATTGTTCTCAGTGCCTCAAATACCAGTAAACCAGCTGCTGTAGACTTGATTCTAACTTCAGGTGGCTCTGTGTGTCAGAGTCTGATTATGTTCCACAGACAAGTGCATTTAATCTTTGACAATTTTATGCTGTTGTTGTTTTTACATGTCACAAACCAACTTCTAGCTAACTCTCCAGTGGGTTTTCAGAGGCAGTAAACTGCATCAGAGTCAACTGTCTATCTTTCTCCTACTGAGTGGCAGACAGATTCGAACTGTATGACTTTGGCTTGGTAGCGCAGCTCCTCACCACTGGACCAGTGGTGACAGTTTATAGTTTGAAAGCTTTATAGTCTTTTATTGCATACATTTTTAAATTTTTTTAAAATTTAGATAACTTTACCAGAATTTTCGTTTTATGGATTTGATTTTTTCTTATTTCAAGTACTTCTTCCCAACCTCAACAACTCTGTCTCTCACTAACATTGAGTCAGAACCAGGTTTTAGAAGCTGTAAATTACATGGGAGAAGACTGCCATTCTTGGTGCTGTGGAGCAGCTGGCTAATTTTTTAATACTTCCTGGATTATTTAATATTCTTCTGAAAGCATCCTTGATTATAGCAATTCGAGGTTTGAATTTGTTCTTCAGTTCCTTGAGCATAAGAAAGGCTGAGCGAATTCAGCCCTTTTGATTTTCTGACTCCAGGTCCTCACATATTTCATTGTAATATTTTACTTTGTCATCCTGCGTTGCCTTTTGAAATCTTGGGTTCAGCTCTATGTATAACAGAAATGGTTAACTCCACAAAAAGCGATATATCTTTCACTTTTTCTGTAAATTGCTTGTCTGCAGATACTTCTCTAAATCTCAACATTCAGGTTCAGACAGACTAGGAAGAAGATTGGCTGTCCACTTCTGAAATAGCAGGCCTCTGAAAACCCTATGTACCCTACGTATCTCTTCTATTATGGGAGGATAATAGGCCCTTAGGCCCAGTACACAATGGCAGGTGCAACTTTTAGCTTGATTGAACAATTTAACTGAAGTATTCTTTCACTATCAGTCCTTTTATTAATCTACCACACATTCATCCTCTCATATATTCAACTGACATGGGTCACCTCTTATTGGCTGGACACAGACTACAGAGCTAGAGAAGTCTCATCTGTCTCTCTTTCTGAGCTTAGAGCATATAGGAGCTCAGACTCATAAGAAAGTAATTATAAAGTGCCATGAGGTTAGTCCACAAAGAAGTGTGCAGAACCTACTAAGGGGGTGGCGATAAACTCTCTGATGACAGAGCTGGGCAAGACAGACATTATAAAAGGAGAGGTGAGCACATAAGATGGTCCTCCTGGAGTAATTTAGAGCCTTCTTAGAGTCCTCGGGTGGTGCAAATCGTTAACAGCTTGACTATCAATTGAAGCCAACTAACAACAAATAAGAAAGGAGGATTAATCATGGAGTCACACAATTTGATGGGTGGGGGCTGTGAGGGTTATGGGAAGGAGCTGATGTAAAAACAATGTATTAAAATTTTATAAATAAACTAGTATAAATATTTTTTAAAAAAAGTACATTCTGAAAGTAAAGAAGTACACGTGCAAAGGTCCTAAAGGTGAAGAAAAGTCACAGCCTATTTTAGGAATTAAATATTCTGGTGTCTCTCTGGCCTCTAAACATCTTGAAACTGTCTTTCACTGGGCTGAGAGAAAAAAAAATTTCTGCTGGGCTCTTTATGATCTCTATATTCTTCAAAGCACGCTGAATATATTCCAGAACACTTAATCGTACTAATGTGAAACCTATACTTGGACCAAGAGGCAGT